CAGGCTGTATGAATGGAAGGTTAAGAGAAACAGACAAGGAGGCGAGGCTGAACGGAAGGTCCTGGGGGAGGAAGCAGGGGCTACCCAGGGGTCCTTATGATAACCGACTTATAGTGCCTTTTGGGGAAACGCAGCCCGGCAAGAACAGGGGACACCGATCGCACCCTGTCTACAGCCTTCCCGGGGCAGAGACGCTGTACCAATCCAGCTCACTGGAGGCAGATGTGTGCTGGTTGACAGAGCTTGCTTGTTATGGACTTCAGAGAGATGGAAAGAGTAAAAAAATCAGTGCATTGCTTTTTGAAGAGAACGTCCCGATTGTAGAGAGTCCAGTGACTGTCCAGTATTTGATGCCAGGGGCCGTAGTAATGGGAATGGCTGTGGGAACAATACAGGAGCAGAGGGAAATGAAACAACAGGATTATAAGAATCCAGAAATTCTTGTTGGAGTCCAAAAGTTCTTTGAGCGTATCTGAGGGTAGAGGAATATTTCTCAATAGGAAACAGCTGAGTTTCTTTCACTCTGCATTAGGTTTTTTTCTTGTTCAGTTTAAGAAATTAACCGAGACACAAGCGTGGAAGGTTTCTGTTACTTTTGTCTTTTCGTTTGTTTAGTTTAAACATTTTGGTTTTATTCTGCCGTGGAGCATGGTCCACATGTTAAATTATGCACACGACAAAATGAGAGATGAGTAGAATATATTTGTATTTTCTTGTAATTAGTCCATGTTTAGTATAAACAGATAATGCGTGAATCAAATGTGAGACAAGTAGCGTATTTTTCTGGTTTGTTCTGTCTTGTTTTCTCCTTTCTTCTTTCTTGTTTGGGGCATGATGCACATATACAATGAATACGCCAAAAATGTGAAAAGAAGTGTGAGCAAGAGATAGTATATACATATACAGTATAACAAGTTGGCAATGATTGTGATTTAACACAGCTGGATGAAACTAGCTGTGTTGGTCATTATCCTTCCTGAACTTCAGTTACGAACGTCTATTTAAAAAGTAAAAAACAGCAGCAAAGCAAGTACACATCCAACTTCTGAGAGGTTTCCAGACTTACTTGAGTTTGATTCCCATTCCATATAATTCTTTCCGCATCAATTTCCAGTTTTTTGGCGAGAGGTTGTGTCCCATCAAATTTCCCCACAGTAACAAACTCCACAAAGCCATCAGCTGCTTTCTGCCAGTTTATAAGATCGTATATAGCTGTAGGGTCTCCGTTTTCATCAAACTTGGTCTCTTCACCAAATTTATTGGTGAACTGCACATATTTCAAGTAGTGCAAGAGCTTTACAAGAACAAAAGCAGCATGTGGGGTTATTGGCACTGCATTTCATGATACATTTGAAAGAGATGTAATGATTCATAATTCATTTTTAATACACATTTACGAATGGCTTTTTATAGGCTGTGCATTTATAAAAATAAAAATTAAAAAATATACAGTATGTTCATTGAGACATTCATTATGGTGCAAAGACATTTAATTGACTTCCATATGAACGAAATCCAGTAGTGACTATTATTTAGTACATAGTTCAACGTTAATGTTTTTAAATTGCTTGAATATTGTTGAGGTATACTATTTTATTCTACCCTTTCGTCACCGAGACACAAAGTGATGCTTTCTGTGTTCCAGGAAGTAACATTCTCGTAAGCAAAGAAGCAAAAGAAACAAAAACAAAAGATTTTACCACAGGATCCTTACCTGCCAAGGCTCGATGCTGGAGATATTTGGACAGGGCCCACTTGCAAACAGCCCATTGTCATCCTTACACTCCAGCAGGTCTTGCAGAGCATGAGCGACTGCGTACACAGACTTGTAAACATTGTATGATATTCTGAGCTGTGTCACATCGGAGTATATATTGCTTACGCTGGCTAGGTCCTCTGACCCAGTGCATACAGGCTTGTCCGTGGAACCTCTGTCTCTTTGAAAAGAACACCCAAAGGTTTTCTCCCAGAACTCGGGGATGAAGGGATGTTTCTGTGACAGTGAGGGATGCACACTGAGGAGGAATTCCTTCAATCCTGGAATATCAGCCCGGCGTATGGCAAAACCCACCGAGCCATCCAGGATTCGGGAGAACTCCCGGGTGGAGAGAAGGGAAGCCGTAATCCAGGCTTCACTGGCTATCCATTGAATTCCTGTCAGGTTCTGACGCAGCACCTCCCAAAACAAAGCATGAGCGTCCTGCTCCAGAGAAAATACCAGGACCACTTTGGCTCTGGAAGCTTCGATAGCCTTCACGATCTTTGCCACCTTATCGGGAGCATGGTTCTTGGGGACGATCTCGTGAAAGGCAAGGCAAACTCCAAGCCTCTGCACCTCTTCGTTGAAAGTCTGGACTCCCCGCCGACCATAGTCGTCATCACCGGCAATCACTCCCACCCACGTCCACCCAAAGTGTTGCACTAGCTGAACTAAGGCGTCAGTTTGAAATAAGTCACTGGGGATGGTTCGCAGGAAGGCAGGAAACTCTTTCTTATTACTCAGACATGCGCAGGAGGAAAAGTAACTGACCTAGAGAAAATAAGAGAAATTAAATGAAAATAAGGCACTACGTACAACAGATAGAAAATAAAAAAGAACTTGACTCTTTTTTACACACTCAAAATATTAATCATTGTTTTTGCATACAGTACATGCTATTTTCATGTATCTTTCTAAACTAGAGTACATTTTAACTGTATGTCACATTCACTGTGGTGTGAACCTACAGTAGATCTATTCATTTCTTTGTTATACGGACATATGCAGTTAGTATCAGAAAAAAAATAATCTGGATTTTCTTCACAATAAAAATACTATAAATGAGAATGCATACCTGTGGAACATGAAAGACCCCCAGAAAGCGAGCTACTACTATTGACAAAGTTGATCCACCATCTCCTATCACAACTGGCACAGATGAGCTGCACTTATAAACAGTGATCGGCTCATCCTGTCCATTCATAAGGGTGACTGCAGCTCTCAGTGCTTGGAAGTGTGTATTGCAGGAATCATAGATTTTGTATCCTAGTGTTATATTAGGAAGGAGGTGCCCATCTTTATTGACTTCTTCAATAGCAAAAATCATTGTCTGTACCCATCTAAAGGTGCGGAAATTTAACCTGAAAACACAAATCCTGTTTTTTATTATTCCCTTTTATTCCTGGTAAGGGTCACTTTGAGGGCTTGCCGTCATCTTTAATTAAGTAACAGATAATTCAATAATGAAAAAAAAACATTAATAAACACATAATTAAAATGAATATGATATACCTTGTTAGATTAGTAATTTCTTCACTTTAACTTCAATTACTGTAAGTTCTATTAAGTGCATGAGCTCCTGTTCTTTTGCATGCAGATGATCAGTTTAATTGCGAGGGAGAGTATTTAGACTAATCCAATCAGTTTTGAGTTTAGGTACTTGTTTAGGATCAGGTTTAGATCTTGCATTGGTTTAATATACTGTATGAGCAGGACACTTATCTCGGCTCTAGGAAAGGCCCAACAGAATGGCTGAAAAGATAAATGTTATATATTTCTAAATGAACCAATTTTTTGTGTGAATAAAAAAATTATCAGTTCAAAGCACATGACCAGTAATCACAGCCTGCTCATCCCTGCTCATGTCGACATACAGAGAATGGAAAGAATTACCTTGTTTTTCTGGGTTTGTTCACGCGTTTTGCACTCAACTTACCCAGAGCAACGTGTCGCATCAGGTTCCATAGTGAAAGACAAGTCTGGCTCCAGCACCGTGTCATGAATAGAGAACAGGCCACCTACCATGATGTCTCCTTCACTCTCTATCATTGGAATGTCTGACTTCCTGGTTAGCTTGCAGGCTGTGTGATGTTTCAGAGAAAAAGTGAAAATCATTGAGCGGAGGAAACACACAACTACAAGCCAGCATGTATCCATGTTTAAAGGCACTACAAAGAAAAGGAGATTCAGAAAATGCTCAGGGCTGTAAACCCCTCGAATATTTATATTTGCTTAGCCAATCTAATCAAGCACTGATAGAAAGTCACTTTTCTCCCCTGAGAAAGTCCTGTGGAAAACAAAACAGCTGACATTTCCTGGTGAGCAATAACATATTTACGCACTCTTGCATGTTGAGGTTTAAGTGCCAAGTCATGTTCTGCTTTAAAATTAAACAGCCTGCTCAAGGTGTGTGAAACAGTGCTTCGTGAAGCAAGAACCTGTTTCCTTTTACAGTATGTTCTGACAGGGAGATATGAAGTAGAAAGATAGATAGATAATTACTGTATTTGAATTTCTAATCTCTCTCAATGGTATATCAGGTACATGGAATATATTTTGCTGTACAGTATATAAAAAGAAGTACAGTACCTTAAAAGTACCTTTTTAGGGACATATCCACGATTGCTTGTTCATAAAATCTTTAAATCATATGTACTTGAATGCATCGTGGTTGATATAGAATCAGACTGCTACTGTATGGTACTCTCACTCCCTTATCAGTTTTAATACACAGCCATGTGTTTCTACTTTACTCCCTGTGCTCTCAAAAGCACCTGTTTAACTGGTGTGTAGAGTTAAAGATGTAGCTTAATGACTCATTAAGAACTGTTTTGTTATATATCCTGTGCTAATGTTTAGGGACAATTCATTATCGTAGTGCTCAAGGCAGTTAGCAGGCAAACGCTTCCCACTTCACCAGCTGTGTGTTTTACTTGCTTAAGGCTATAGTTTAGCTCTTCCCTGCTAATGTGTCTCAGAACACAAGTGCTGCTAAGGAGGCAAGGAGCAGCAGCATGTCTCTGCTCATACAGGCTGCAGCTCTTTCAGTAAAGAAGGAAAAGCACAGAGGAATCGAGGACAGAGCTGTAACACGAAGTGCACCGAACAAGACTTACAGTATACAGTGGAAAGACCTTCATCTCTAGTGCAGAAAAGTAAAGAGCACAGACAGAAAATGAGCCCGAAAACAATGCAAAAAAATGACTTTGTGATGTGTGGCAGGAATGGGTACATTTTACTTTTTTCATAAACACAACACATTAGCAATATGACACAGTTCAGATCTTTTTTATTTCTTTTTTTTATTTGTAGCTGTGCGGGGTGTTTAGTGTAAGTTGTTTCTCTCTCACAGCACAGTGTGCACTTTAATGCAAATCTGGCTGTAAATTAGTTAAATTAAGCCTCACCTTAATTGATGTAATGTAATCAAAAATAAATTAAGGGTTATTAGGTTCATAGGTTACATTTTGAGAATTGATACTGAACGTGAACCTTTATGGTTTGATTGACTATTCAGAAGTTATCCATCTGTTTTTCAATTTTTTTTGAGTGGTGAATTATGAAAATTTTCTTTGTTTCCTTTCTTATTAGTATGGAATTTTCATGAAATTCCTTGAACTCTTTTTGTTGTTTTCAGTTCTTTTTAAGTATTGGAAATACATGACATATATAACATATTAACAATGGCATGTTTTACAAGAATCCAATTTTTTTGCAGTCGGTAAAGTCAAGTGAATATATGCAGCAAGATGAACACTCTTCTTTCACTTTCAGCTCCTATGATCAAGATAATCACTTTCTTCCTGAAGCATTTATTATTTAAAACAGCACAATTCTTTTAATCATTGAAATCTATATTGTTTTAAGTGGTTTGTTAGTGGTAATTCAGTGATCCACAGAAACTCTAAAATCATTAAAATAAAACACCAATAAAATAAATATTTTAAATTGCAAGACTTAATACTGGACTTATAGAGACTAATAATATTGGATGAATAAAAATTAGTACGGAAAAAGTTATTTCCTGTGAGAATTTCTGTAAAAAATCTTGGGAATCAATAAAGGAATAAATGAACCAATTAAAAAAGTATGAACTCCCAAGGGCATACAGCCAGAAAAAAAGCACAGCTTTTTTATGAACAGATAGGAGTTGTTAATTTTAATACTGTCAAAGCTCATTATGTAATACAGTAGTTTAAAGCAATTCAATTTATATTCCTAGATATAGCCCCCTGCAGGTATGTCATAAACACAATACAGGCCCCTATCTGGTATTGCTCCTTAAATATCTTACTTGGAGCTGAAAAACGATTGACTGTGTACTACAGCATACCGAGACATTTAGCGAGCGATGCTTAACTGGAGGTACAGTATTTAGTGATGCAATATCTGCAATCAGAAATTATTAAATAAATCAGACAGAAAGCTCTCCTTTGATTCCTGAAGACCCAGTCCAGAAAAAAAAAACTAATTTATGGAAAATAAGAATTATGATATAATGACAAAGGATTTTGAATAGTACAGTTCATACATTTTTCTGAAAAATTGTTTTCTTGGAGTGATTTTAGAGTTACTACAGCAGCTTCATGCAAAGAATTAAAAACATTCCTGCACATGACCTCAAAATTGCTTTGGTCTCTTATTGCCTTTGTTACATATCTAGTGGGGACTAATACATTTGCTCAGTTCCTGCTTTTGACCTGACCTGAAGGTACATCATACTTTAAAAGTTTTGAAAAAGTGTTCTAATCCTTTATTATTTGCACATTAGGAACTTGGATTTGGCGTTATCAATCAATCAATCAGTCAAAGTTTATTTATCCAATGCACAGCAATACAGCATGCAGCAGTAGTTGCTGGCAATGTCTTTTCTACAAGCTCACTGGGGAGGGGGTGGATAAAAATCACAAAATTAAGGTTATAAAATAAGGCTACATAATAATAGATAATAATCCAATAGAAATTGAATAAGATAAACTCAGACAGAGCTCAATATAAATAGAGCTGTGATTTGTCCAGGATGTATGCAATAAATTAAGTCAAAGTAGTGCTGTATGCCCAATACAGTGAAAACTGTACTGTATGTCCATGTATCCATTATGGGTGATTTGCTGTAGGAGCTGCAGGTTGGGTATTTAGCAGTCTTATTGCCTGGAGGTACAGTAGAAGCTGTTCCGTAATCTGTTGGACTTTGACTGAATGCTTCGGTACCATTTGCTAGACAGAAGGAGAGAAAACAGTTTGTGACTGGGATGACTGGTGTCCTTGTTGTTGCCCCTGTCTCTGAATTTTTTGTTTCTGTTGTCCATGAACAAGCTTCAACGATGCTGCTAACTTTAATTTTATCTACACGGATTAATTACATCTTAATTTCCTGTTTGACAGTTGTCTGATTGTTGGTCATTGCTATAGTGCTGTTAAAGAAAATAGTCAGCCACTATGCTTTCTTTTCCATTAGTGAACAAAACATGTTTAAGCCTAATTTTAGAGTAATACAAAATAACAAGATTTAAAATATATAACGTTTCTTAATATACAGTATGCTAC